ATATTGTGTGATATATTTACTGATGTATAATTTTTATCTATCGATACGCCCAGGTGCTGCGCATGAACACAGGGTCTAAGGTGATGTCTGGGTTCTCCTCCTTGTTTCTGGCTAAGATTGGTGGTCAGAGTCTGTTCCAACGGGTGGTGGCTCAGCGCATGGACGTGCCGTCAGTAGTAGCTGAGAGAGACGCTCTAGTCAGCAAAGTCCACGACAAGCGCCTGGTCAATGTGCTGTTGGACTACATTAAAGAACGGTGCGTGTGTGGAGGAGAGTATTGCTGTATCAGTTAGCGTGCGTGTGTGGAGGGGAGTGTTGCTGTATATTTGTTAGCGTCCGTTTATGTGTGCGTGTGTCTATTCGTTGCAGTCTCTGGTGTCGTATTGATGCGTCCATCTGCGAGGTTAGTGGCAACAGCAATACTAGTACGCAGCTCGATTCTATCAGTTAAACGTTCGTGCCTGTACGAATGTATAGGTTTCGTGTGTGTGCGTGTCCGCGCGCGCGTGTGTGTGGGCGTAGGTGTGGGTGTACGAGTGTGCGTGTGCATGTCAGTATGTTTACAGATCTATATATATATATATATATATTAATGAAATATAGCATGCCCGTGGGATGTGTTGCTTCTGTACGGCATCGGTTGACAGCTAGTACTGGTTAACGTTTAAACATCAATGTACTCTGGTTTATTGCTTTGACTCATCAAACGCACATGACGTGTTGACAACGTAATCCCATTACGTAATGACAACGTATTGATGTTTCCAGATACCCGATCGATGGTGGATGGAAAGCGTTTGCTGATAAGCGTAAGATGGTGGGGGTGCTGATTGCGCATGTGACAGGCGACTACAGTGGCGTGCACGCGAAGAAGTCTGAAGACGTCGCCATGGCCAAGAAGAAACGCACTGTCAAAAGCTTGTTTAAAAAGAAGGGTGTGTGTGTGTACCTTTGTGGTGTATGTGTTAGGTACTTGTTTAAGACGAAGGGTGTGTGTGTGTACCTTTGTGGTGTATGTGTTAGGTACTTGTTTAAGAAGAAGGGTGTGTGTGTACCTTTGTACTATATGTTGTAAGGACTTGTTTACGAAGAAAGGTGTGTGTGTGTGCCTTTGTACTGTATGTGTCAAGTACTTGTTTAAGAAAAAGGGTGTGTGTGTGTGTGTGTCAAGTACTTGTTTAAGAAGAAGGGTGTGTGTGTGTGTGTGTGTCAAGTACTTGTTCAAGGAGAAGGGTGTGTGTGTGTACCTTTGTACTGTATTCCAAGAGAGAGTTGTATAGCTATCGATGCACGTGTGATAGTAAACGCGTGCATCTGTCGCCATCTCATCGCCACAGTCACAGGCATACGTGTGCAGCAACACTCGCCAGCTCACACTACCACGCCCTGTACACGCTTGCCCAACCCCACACACAAAGGTCACACCCGCACACCTCTCATTTGTCCCATTCTCCGAGCACAGACAAATCGGAAGCGGGACCGGTCCCAGACGAAAAGAAACAGGACAACCCCATCGAGGGCATGGAGCATCTTAACGTAGACGCGACCATGCCAGGCATCAACCGGTCGAATTCGGTCAACAGCACAGTCTCCAACACCAGCCAGAAGTCCAATCGCAGTATATCTCCGGGTTTCAAACGTAGCGACGTGACGGTAGAGGAGATAGGCCGGGTGGATGACTGGACATGTGGGGCACTGTTCCAGGGTTAGTCGTACTGTGCTTGTGCTTGAAGGGGAGGCGGAGGCGGGGGTGTATTAGGAAGTGTGTGTGTGGACGGGTGTTTGAGGCATTGAACAGGGCAGAGAGTTATTTTGAAGTATATGTATTGTATATGAGTGTATGTTTTATATATAGGTGTACTTTTATATTCAAGTATATGTTTTATGTATAGGTATATGTCTTTCCTGCTGTATATGCAAAAGTATGCACTTATATGTTTTATATTTAAGTGTATTTTTTATATTCAAGTACAAGTTTTTTGTCCCACTGTATGTTTCGTATGCAAGCATGTGATTATATCCAAGCACATGTTTTATATCCAACTCTATGTCTCATATACAATTACACTAGTCTTGGGTTCAATGAACTTTTACGGGTGTGATACGGTGTCACACGTGGTATCCGCTAACTGGCTCAGAATAAGACATCTCTTCTTGTGCTGCGTGCATAGTTGTTGTCCGAAGACCTCGGCACCACTTTATGTACTACGCAGTACTACTGTAACCCAATGCCTTGTTCCTGAGTGCATGATGACCTCTAATTTCTGAGCCTCTTAGAAGATCGCACCGTCTGTTGTGTGGTCACTGCACACGTACAAGGTGACCGTGTAGCTCGAATGTCGCAACAAACATACAGCGTTTGTGTGCTTCCTGCACTATCACTAGTTTTTTATCTGTCGTAGCTCGAATGTCACAACTTGCTTCCAGCGTTTGTGTGCTCTCTATGCTATCCCTGCGGTTTGTGGTCTGTCATATGCACACATGGACAGTCCACCCACTGGCCATGGTCGTACGCTTGGAGGTACTCATGGTGGTGTATGGGGCCAAGTAATGTGTTCAAGTGTGTCAGTATTCTTGTTTCGTATGGGGTGAGTGGGGTTGCCGAGTTTTTTCAACCCGCAAACCTCTACCGCATAAAACCCCCTCAAGCATGAAAACTCTAAAACATTGAAACCCTAATATTGGACAGTGGCTGTGAGGGAGTTGGAGAGATACGATCTGGAAACACTGGTGCAATTCTCTGGCAGCGACCCAGTGACGGATTTCCTGGCTGGTCTGCTTAAAGGTATGTAACAGTATATGTTTATAGGTTTAAATATATCTATATATATATATCTATATCTCTATCTCGTGTATATGTATAATTATATATATATATATATATATATATATATATGTGTGTGTGTGTGTGTGTATGTATATGTATGCATATATTAATATATATATATATATATACATATAAATATATGTGTACATGT